TCAAAAAGGTAAATCTCACGATCAGGAAATTCTTTTTGTATAGCTCTTTGAATCTGTAATGGTTTCAGTTTAACAACATTCATATAGAATTCTACCCGTTTGATCATTTTTTGTATAAGTTTACTATCATTTAAAAATTCTACTCTGTGATAAAACAATTTATGATTATGTACATTATTTAGAGTAGTAATATAAATGTTTTTGTTGGGATTATTTTTTATTGGTTGTGAACAATTTACATGCCATTTACATTGTATACACTTCGTGCTTGATTCTCTAACTTGTTTGGTGTTCTTCGATTTATATTCGCCACTTTGTTCACAAAGCATTGTTTATTTACGAGTAGCACCATTAGAAGTCTTCTCAATGCGACCTTTTCTTAAGCCAAACCCTTTCTGCCGTGTATACAATTTTATTGTATTATATGCTTCATCCCAACTTTGGAATATCCTTCCTTTATAGAGCTTTTCTTGAGAGTTAGTGTGTTCATCATCTTTTTCATTATTTTCATAACTAGCAACTACTAATTCATCATTAAGACTAACAGTCACTAAATCATCATCAAGACTAACAGCCGCTAAATTATCATCAAGACTAACAGCCACTAAATCATCATCAAGACTAACAGCCGCTAAATCATCATCGAGACTAACAGCCGCTAAATCATCATTCAACTGAGGTGCTTCTTCGTTATTTGCCATCTATATTACAAAATAAAGAATTACTTATATCTATTCTTAATAAAATACATCATAAATTTCAAATTTACCTTTTTAAAACTTGGCTACTGAATTTATTATCTTGTTGGAAGCTTTACAATTTTAAAGTTTTTCAGTTAGTATTTGACTATAAAAATTTGAAGCTCAAGATATTATTCTTCTGCAAGCAATTTACCTTTATATGGTCTAATAAATCGTTAAATTTATTGTCTTAGTGAGCTCACACCTTTCAAACAGTCAGTTTGTTCTTTTCTACCAGCTTTACCTTTGTTGATAGTCAAATACAGTGCTTTGTTACTGAGCTTGTGAATTATGATAATTGTTAGGTTTGTACTTTCGTTGATCATTGGGTTTGTACTTTCATTGATTGTTGGGTTTGTACTTTCGTTGATCGTTGGGTTTGGGCTTTCTTGATTGTTGGGTTTGGGCTTTCTTGATCATTAGGTTTGGGCTTTCTTGATCGTTGGGTTTGGGCTTTCTTGATCGTTGGGTTTGGGCTTTCTTAATTGTTGGGTTTGGGCTTTTGTTGATCGTTGGATTTGGGCTGCATTATTGTATGAAGATTTGCTTAAAAAAAAAGATAATGATCCTCGCTGGTATGTTGCAATTGATTGGGATAGGAAGACATACAGTCTTTGGAGATTATTTTGGATGTCTCCTGAGCAGATAATTCTCTGGATGAAGTTTAGTGATATCATACTAAATGATAATATGGCCAAAACTAATCGATATGATATGGCACTTTCTCTTTTTTTGTGTATTGATAACTATGGATCTTCTCGACTAGTTGGATATGCACTTATGGGTGATGAATCCACTGACTCTTATCGCTGGGTTTTGCGTCAAACAAAAAAAGCTACAGAAGGTTGTGTATCCGCTGTTATTATGACAGATGCAGATCCAGCCTTGGATCTTGCAATATCTGAAAAGTATGAACAATCACATACTATGCATTGTATTTTTCATATTGCTCAAAATCTTCCCAGAAATCTAGAAGCCCGATTGGGTTAACAATATCATGAATTTATTAAGGACTTTTATACAGCCCGAAATGCACTTATTGCAGAAGTTTTTGAGCATAAATGGGCATTGTTAATTCAGAAATATAATCAACCTAATGTGATTAGATATTTACAAACTTTATATTCATCAAA